CAAAGTTTCTTTCTTTTTCTGAGCAGTAGACGCTACTTTACGGCTTATTACTTCCTGTTTTCTGGATTCTTACGAAAATTTCTTAACCAGGCTCAACTTGTGAGAAAACACAGTCCTGCCACTCCTAATTCCGATTGATGGAGACGTTTGCAAGCGTAAGAGGATGGGACACCGCAGTTGAGCCCAATTTCGTTAGATTCCTAAGGCTGCGCTTGTCGTGAACGAAGAAATGACCCAGTCTCCTCATGCAGGGCTAACATACTCCATTTGCTTGCTTTGAACCTGGAACTAAGGTAAGCGTCCCTGAGCGAAACCTTTCATGAGTTCTGTAGAATCCCAAAAAATATCCAGTCCACAAGACCTCTTGTGAAGTTGGTTGCGCGGTGCATTGTATAAATAGTTGTTCAACTTCAGATTAACCTTTACTTTTGCATTCATCCTTTAGTAAGAAGGGATATCAGGGTTCAGCTGTAAAAGCACAAATTCAGTCATGTTCCGAAGGAAGTCTCACATTTCTATAAATTATTTTCTGCTCGTGAATTGGTTGATAGCCTCGCGTTTAGCTCAGGACTTTTCAGAATTTCTGGAGGACACCTCCTTGCCTGAATCGTGCCGCCAAGTCGCTTTGTCGTCTTTGCAATGTATCGCTACTGGTCTAATAGATTCACTGCGAAACTGCGCTCGAGGGCCGATCAGTTCCATTGGAGTGGATGTTGCTGCCGAAGAGAGAAAGAAGAAAGCTGAGAGTTGTATCCAGGTGATAATAAAATAATTTGGCACTATTAGATCATGGCAACCCAAATCTTGGAAAAATTGCTGAAACCCTGTCTACAGAGGTCATCGTTGCTTTAGTGATTCTTTTTAGGTCGCAAAAAGTCTGTTAATGGCAGGAACGGGGTTCAAAAATTGTGATTTTTACGGCTCATATACTAAGGGCAAGGTGGTAAGGAACACAGAAGTGGCGAAAAAAAGCACTTGAAACCCGCTTGAAATATGCCATATAGAATCCTATGCAGAACCGCGCTTGTACGTGCATAAGACGAAGGGTGGGCGTGATCGGACGAGTTTTCACTTGTTGGTGCCAGCTCTTTCTCCTTCTCACCTCACTCTCACCATACGCACCATCAGGTAGCACTCAAAAATGAAAGTTGGACGTTGCCGTGGAGTGGGCGAAGTCGTGGTTTTCTCGTGAGCGGGGCGGGCGTTTTTCTCACGTATTTCTGAAATGCGAAACTAGTGCATGCTCTGTGCTTGTAGGCAGGGCTATCATCTCCCTAAACACCAAATGAGCGCCTTAAAGCTAGCGAGCGAGAGATTGCCTTAAAAGTCGTGACTATTTCACCGAATAGCCCCTGTAGCCTAGGTTTTAGCAATTTTTGAAGGAATTAGGGTTGTCATAGACGAATAGCGTCAGAACATATCCCTTCCTGAAATGTCAAAAAATGTACCTTGCAGGAATTGAGAGATCTCCGAGATAGGCGCGATCACTACTATCGAAAGCTTTCGCAAGAAGAAGTGTATAAATTGGATGCTATAATGGAGTTCCTGAAACATCTGTAAATAGACAAGGAATTTGATTTAAGCAGTACGAACTTAGTAGATGTGCCATTCCCTTTACCGTTCACTTACATCAAAGCGCGTTTTATCTTCTAGAACCAACTGATCTCCTGTTTGATACGATTTCATAGTAGTGCAATTTCATCAATTGCCAATAACCGAAGTGTAATTTCGACCATCCTTGTAACTGTTTTGCTGAGTTTTGCCGCTCATTTGTCGTGGTATGGCATTGTGGTTCCTTAGCATTGAACCGGGTCGTAGTGCTTTATGCCTCACTGTGATATTAACCAGTTTTAACTATGTACTGAGATAAATTTTTTTATGCTCCTCTTGTCTAATTGCAAGTGTTGAGTCCAGTTCTAATCGATGTTCACAATGGGCTGAATGGGCA